ATGCTCATTTTCTTAAATATGTATATTCATATTTTCAATGCATATGTTCATATTTTTAATACTTATAATGTGTATGTTTCATAATTATTTTATTTTTTATATCTTCAATTTGCTTATGTTTATAATTAAAGGTCGTAAATGCAATTCATATGACTTACATGTTCACAAACCTAATCAAATTGATCAAAATTCATTACAAAAGCACCACATAATAAATGTGGATTGGATCACTGTATCCTCAGTGGTGCAATCGAAATTCAAACATAGATTAAATTGATAGAAATTAAACAAAATACAATTACAATTGATTATAACCTACAAAAAAACCTAATTACAAATCAACAAAACAAAACACTCTTGCATTGACGATCTCTTAGGGAATAACAACTAATTCCATAGTAAGCAACAATATCTACCGAAAAAGTGAAACAAAAGAGAAAAATAAAGAAAACAGAGGAGAGAGAAAATGAAGAATAAAAGAGGAAAAACAAAGGAGAATAAAATTTTGATGAAAATTATGATTGAAATTTTGATAAAAAAAATTTGATTAAAATTTTTACAGGAAAGAAAAGTGAAGAGAGAGAATTTGAAAAAAGGAAACAAAAAATTTAGGAAAGGAAAGAAGAACGTAGGAAGAACGTTAGCTAAAATATGAACAAGAACATGTTGGGCTGCGTTTCATGCTATAACTAGATTAGGTCATATGCCATGCACGGTAATTCGACTACATTTTATCAATAAAAAGAAAAAAATTGTAATAAAAATAACATAGATAAAATACAAGTATAACATATTTTATCTTCTTATATATTTTGCATATATAATGAAATGAAACTGAAATATAACAAACGAGTCAATTAGATAAATGAGTACATTAAAACTACATGTGTAGATGACCATTAAGTGTATTGATAAATCAATGATAAATTAGTATCAATTTTCTTTTTATTAACCAATAAGTAATTAAAATTATGTATTACATACACCTAATGTGCAGGAATAATAACCCCGATTGAATGATATTTGGTCAATTTTTTTCAACATCAACAACAACAACGATAATAAATTAAAGCTCTGCTCACTTCTCCTTAAGAAAATAACATTCAGCAAAAATAATTTCAGTTCAGTAAAAATAATTTCAGTTAAGAAAAAATAATTTCAGTTCAGTAAAAATAAGTTCAGTTCAAAAAAAATAAGTTTAGTTCAAAAAAAAATAAAATTCAGTTCAGTAAAAATAAGTTCAGTTCAGTAAAAATAATTTCAGTCCAGTAAAAATCAGTAATTTTAAAGAAGAAATATAACATAGAATCAGTAAAAATAATTTAAGTTCAACAAAAATAATTTAAGTTCATTAAAATTAATTTCAGTTCAGTGAAAATAATTTAAGTTCAGCAAATTTAATTTTAGTTTAGCAAAAATAAGGTGAAGTGAACGAGATCTAATTGTGTAGTATGAATTTATAATTTATTAGATTCATCATATTAAATATTGTTACAAAATTACTTTATTCAAAATATAATTATTATTTTAAGAAATAAAATATGATGTATTAGAGATAATGGTTATATATTTATTATGATATATTGTCCTATTAGTAAAAGATATTGATGCCAAAAATATTAAAAAAAATTAATAAAAGATATGGGAAATAAAGTGATAGCTTTAAAGGAATATACTATCTCCGTTACAGGTTATGTGCAACGATTAGACATTTTCCCTCTTTACTTTATGTTAAATCGTTGCACATAACCTGTAACGGAGGTTGTATATGTTATTAAAGATACGTATAAAAGATTTGGAATAATATTATAATAGTTACATTGTACTAAAAATTTTAAAGAAGATTCTAGCAAAAACAAAAAAAGGAAGGGGGAATTTTAGGAGGGAAACAACTATACTAGAAATTGACATGTGTCATTCTTGATGTTTGTTTTAGTATTATGTTATGTTATTGATTGATAGGTGTGTTTAGGGTTGTTGTAGGTCACTTGCAGCTATTATAGCCGCGCAAGCATGTAGCCAAGAATATGCCAGAAAAAATAGCCATAATATCCATTTTAAACAGTAAAATATGGGCTAAGCCACAAAAAGAGAGTCTACTTAGGCCCTGTTTAGTTCACCTGATTTTAGCTGATCTGGTCTGATCTTATCTTATCTTATCTTATCTTATCTTATCCGATCTGAACTTATATTTTCTTATCTGATCTGAACTTATTTTTTCTGATCTGATCTGAACTGAACTTATTTTTCTGATCTGAACTTATCTTTTCTGATCTGATCTGAACTTATTTTTTCTGATCTGAACTTATTTTAATTATTTCAATATTCTACTTTTATTTATTCAATATTAATGTTTTTTTTAAAACATATTAATGTTTTATTTATTTATTTATTTATTATTATTATTATTAGGAAAATTATTATTATTATTATTATTATTATTATTATAAAATATTTCAGATCCCTTACAAATATTTTAAAAGAAACCTAAAAGTATTAATATTATCAGATAGTATAAGGTAATATACTTGTAATATTTGATAATTTTATTATTTACAATATCCAACATCATAAATGAATTTGTTTATAAGAAAGTATTGAAATGGGATCCTAAAAAACCTAAATTGCAGATTAAATTTGTCATAGCTTTATAAGGAATTTTACAAATTTTTTGGTAATGTAAAATGGTTGACTAAATTGGATTGAAAATTATCATTTCATATTTCAATATTCCGAACAACTATGGGTAACACCTCTATTTTCCTATATAAAACAACATCTTAGTGTCATAATTTTCACACTCTAAATCAATCTCCTAAAATATTTTTCTATTCATTTGTTCAATAGGTTGTTTGTCTTTTATCTCCATCATAGGTAAATACTTCAACACTCTATGTCATTAATTTTATCATTTGTCCATAGTTTTTTAGATAATGTAGGAAAATATACATTTATTTGATTTCATGAATTTTACATTTGACCTAATGCAAGTAATATCGATGAAAATGTAAAGCACAATTAATATTTTATCTTCAGTTCATTTATTTCAAAAGAATCCTTTTGATTATAATCCTGGTGCCAATTCAACATTAATGTCTATAATTTATGCATGAAATATTGATTCCAAAGTGCTCTTTATCATAGTGTAATGGCTGGTTGGGTAGCATGGTCTGAAGAATGTACAGAGATATTGTTGGACATATGCTTGGAGATGAAAGAATTTGGATATTTAAAGCTTAATTGGGATAGAATAGTGAGTACTTTGATCGTAAAATGTGGAAAGCAATTCAATATCAAACTAGTAACAAATCATTGGAATGATTTGAGATGTTTTGGACAATTCAAATCTTAATGGAAAATACTCACAGTGATGCCAAATATGGACACTAAACATCAATTGGCGATTATGGTTGTTGCATTCACACTTCACAATTTTATTCGATTACATGAGTTGGATATACCCATTGATAGTGGTATAGAAATCGAACCAAGAGCAGATTATGATTTGTTTAACGAGAATCGTAAGGCCTAATGAACGAAGTACAACTTAATATAGCGAAGGAAATTTGGAACTTCTTATGATGGAAATTATATTTGTAAACGTTTATGATTTGGAGCTTATAATGAAAATTTAATTATTATCGTTTATTGTTTGAACAATAATAATAATAATAATAATAATAATAATAATAATAATAATAACAACAATAATAATAATAATAATAATAATAATAATAATAATAATAATAATAATTTGTATTTAATTTCAACTTATCTGATCTGATCTGAACTTATTTTTTCTGATCTGATCTGAACTTATTTTTTCTGATCTGATCTGATCTGAACTTATTTTTTCTGATATGATCTGATCTGAACTTATTTTTTCTGATCTGAACTTATTTTTCCTGATCTGACCTGATCTGAACTTATTTTTTTTGAAATAAGTAAAAATAAGGTGAACTAAACAAGGCTTTACAAGGTTCCATCTTAAAAATCATATAACAATATGAAAAGTAATTTATTGTCCTTATAATGTGTTTAACTCTCTTTTATTTTATTTATCAATGTATGACACTTACATGTGTTCGTTGCTTGGAAAAGGTTATGCTTCATATTAACTTTATTCGTACGGTACTTTTACAGTTAATAAAATGTTAGGAAAATAATTGAACTGTTCTACCTATTTTCAATTGATTTAAGAATGAAACTCTACTAGACACGGTCATACAATGTTGGGGTGTAGGCTTGTGCTGGTGTTTATAGTTTTGGGTACTTCTACAGTACCACATCTTACAAGCTAAAAGTAATACTCCTATCAGTTTGAACCCCTTTTTGTTATGATTGTCTACATAATGAAATGTCAAACTAATCTCTTTTGTTATGATTGTCTACATAATGAAATGTTATAAACGTCTATTAACCCCATATATGCTCCGTTTGGTAATTAGTTAGTGACTGGTTGGTATAATTGGCTATATTACCTAGTGTAACTAGCTGGTTGTGTAAAATTAATTAGCGTAGGTAATACGGAGTAATTAGAAAGCTAAATGTTAATAAGCTAATTTAAAAAGGCTTCTTTTTTCAAGGTAGTCCAAAAAACAATTTCAATAAACTATTTACCAAATACTCAAATTAGCTTCTTTGTTTAGTCTACAGAGACTCAATAAGCTAAAAGCTACTTCAAAAGTAGTTTAACGAGAAGTACAAACTCATAAATCACATACCATTTTTTTTTTAAAATATTCTTCTTGTGTTCCGCCCACTTCACTATTTGAGCTAATTCGGATTCGAACTCAGTTTTGAATGGTGACTTTTCCCAATTGTGTGTTGTGAAGGATCTAACAAGCGTCATCCCTATCAAGTGTAGGACATGTTTTCATTTACTAAACTAAACTGAATATTTTATGAGAGAAGCAAATTAGAAACTTAATTGAAAATAAGCCGAAGAGAACAAGCCTAAATCACTAATATACTAGGCTACTAGCAAAACCAATTGGTTCGTGTCCCCATTGACCTCTTCTTCATAATGATCTATACGATAACGATCAAGCAATTCTGTTTTCCCAAAATTATTCAATTAAAATCTGTTCTATCTTCCCCGCCAAATCAATCCCACGAAGAACCCTAATCACTTCAACCCAAAAACCCAATCTTCTCTAAATTCATTAATGGAAGATGCAAAATCAACCGATGAAGACGACGAATTCCTCGACGCTTCCGATGAATTCCCTTTCTACGATTGCCCAGATACTCCCGATGATTCTCCTTCAACCTCTCAATCCTCACATTCTCTCTCCTCTTTCCCCAATTCAAGTGTCTCAGCAGCAGGTCTCTGCCGTCGCAAGTCTCTGAGAAATCGAAAATTAAATAATTTTGAGAGTAACACCCAGAAATTGGATTCAGATACCGAATTGACGTCGGAAACCGTCGAAAATGAGAGTTCTACGGTCACTACCGACGAAAAACCAGAAAAATCGACGGCGCCACTGTCGCCGCCGGCGAAGGAGGTGGTGAGGAAGAGGGAAAATGATGATGGGCAGTTAAGTTCATCCGCGGCGACAGCGAGGGAGAGGGAAAATGATGATGGGCAGTTTAGTTCATCGGCGGCGGAGGCGGTGAGGAAGAGGGAAAATGATGATGGGCAGTTCAGTTCATTGGCGGCGACGGCGAGGGAGAGGGAAAATGATGATGGGCAGTTTGTTTCATTGGGTATTCTTGCTGAATTGTTAATTAAAGCAATTGGGTTTCAATTTAATTTGTTGATTAATGTTATTAGTTTCCCTTTTTGGGTACTTTATTATTCTTGCTTGTTTGCTTTGAATCCATTGCTTATAATTGGGCTTGGTAAGGGTTATTTGATTGGAAAATTAACTAAATGGTGGAATCTTGTTGGTGATACATTGAGTCCATATATGTCTGAATGGTTGAATGAGCATAAATCATGGTTGAAGCTCGTGTTGCGTTGCGGTTGGGGATTGTTTTGGTCAGTTTATGTGTGCTCCATTTTAGTGGGTTTGTTGATTGGTGCATTTGTGATTGGTGGGTTGATGATGAGATATTGTTTTGTTGAAGAGCCATTCCTGTTGAAGCAGGGATTGAATTTTGACTACACGAAAAGCAAGCCGGTTGCTTTCGTGCCTATTATTAGTTGTCCGATTGAAGAATGGAGGGACAAATATGAGGATGTTAATGCTGTTGGATATGCCAGGGTTATACCTCCAAATCATAAGTTGCAGGCTACTGTTACCATGGTTTTGCCAGAGTCGGATTATAATAGAAATCTGGGAGTCTTTCAGGTACATTTCCCTTGTGAAAGCTCTCGTCTTCTGAGTGTTCATTTATTTAATACTCTAATATTCTGGGCATAGATTATGAGTAATGGTCTTTATTTTGGTTGAGTTGGTTGTATGTGATTTTTATTGCCTTATTGTGTTAGTTGGTAGTGACTTGGTAGTGCTTCAGCCTTAGGTCCTTTTTAGATTTACTGAGCTGACTGAACTGATTGGAACGGAATGAAATTAGAAACTGAACTGAACTATTTTATGAGAGAAGGAAATTAGAAACTGAACTGAATTGAATATTTTACGAGAGAAGGAAATTAGGAATTGAACTGAACTGAAAATAAGTCGAAGAGAACATACCCTTAGTTATAAGTTGATTGTAGTGGTTTTTTATTTATGTTTGAACCTGAAGTGTTCTGCTCTATTCTGCTGACAATTGGAACAATGCTGCTCAACTCATATCATATGATTTGTTCACACCACAATTTTCTTTATTTTCCTTCGTTATGATGGTAGATTTTCTTTTTTATAATATAGTGTTGGTACTCAATCTGTACTTTGCAAGAACTATTTTTTTCTTTTGCTTTGGAATCATTAATGGAAAGTGTTGTAATTGTCCAATACATTTAGTATCTTTTTAGCATTCCTCTCTGTTAATTTGCTTATGGTCTATTTGGTTGACTATTGGTTTTACGAACATCTTTTTGACACCATGGCTTTACAGTACAAGTGATGCAATTATGTTGCTTCCTTTTCTTCCTTGTCTATTTACAATTAGTGTCAATCATATTTATGTTCTGCAAGCTTCTCGTGTTTTTTTTTTATCCCATCCGCCTCTTTTCTCGTGCCTCAGTGACTATGGTTATTGTTGTAGAATAAGATTCTAGAGTAACGTTACAATTGGGAGTACCCCCTTTGTGTTCTGTTCTGCACTTGGAAACTGGAAGAAGTTGGTCCTAATCAGATTAACACTTTGTTTGGATTAGAGGAAATGGATAAAAAAAGAGGGGAGGGATAGTGAGGGGAACAAGTTTTCCTTGTTTGGATTAGGGGTTGGGTGAAGGAAGGAGTGGGATCCATTTGCCCTCCTTTAATAAACACTATTCCTCCAAAATTGGAGAGATTTGGAGGGAATTGGAACTCCATCTTCCCCCTCCACTTCCTCTTGCCCTCCCCTTCTTTTCCCTCATATATTGACATCGAAACAAAGTGTAATGATGTGTCACTAAGCCTTAAGTAATGATTTTTGTTTATATGTTTTGAGATGATGTCAAAAAAACTTTTAACGCCCTTTGACTTGTGGTTGGCTAAGTTTTAGATTATGACTGATCTAGTTAGCTGACAGTGTAAGTGAAGATAGTATGGAAAAGTCACAGTTTTGCTGGTATGTTTATTTTTTTCGGAATTTTATCAAAAATTCTTGTAAACAATAAATTATTCTGCCTTTTAAGGTTCTGTGCTTCTGTCACTCTCTAATTGGTAGCCTAAAACTCTTATTATTACAACTATATTAAGATGGAAGAACTATAGGAGTATAAATTAATTTCTGACTGACCTTGGCGTTCTACAAGATTATGATGAAAGAAATCCTAGGCTAGATTCAAGACGAAAACTAACCTAATTCACTCCTTCAGATGATAAGAGAGGGGTTGTGATCCAGTGCTTCAAGATGAAGAGAAAGAGAGGACACAAAAGGCCATAGTTGGTCAGGAAGTCCATGGCTGGATTCAGGGAAACAATGATAAATCTGCGCACAAATAGAAAAACCCAACTTAGACATCATGAGCAAGAAAACAATAATTTATGCAAGGAATTTCCCAATCTTGCTTGAGACAGTTAAATTAAGGGGCCGGTTGGTTGGGGGTTGTCAACAAAGGGAATGGGAATCAACTGCCCCAATTCCCTTTGTTGTTGTTTGTTTAACACTTTCTTTCATTCCCTTTCCCCTCTCCATTACCCCAAATCCTTTCAACTTCATTCCCCCCCTCCCCTCCCCTCCCTAGACTTTTCCATTCCCTTTCCTTAGCCACCCCTCTACACCACACCCACACCTAGCCACCACCCTTATACCTTTCCTCCACCACCAAGTCGCACCTCCATGGCTCCACCGACGTTCGCCGCCCCTTCCCCGACCCTCCACGACCATCGAAAATCCTAAAAAACCCATCCTCTTCTCTGCTAAACGGCCGAACGGTCCTCCCTCACCATCGAAACCGTAGGCGCTACGGTTTCGAGGGTGGGGGAGGGCCGTTCGACGAGTTTCACGACGAGTTTCAGCGGTGCTAGGGTTGTTTGGGCTAAGGAAGTTTTCGGGGGAGGGACGACCTCCGCTGGGTCGACGAGGGACGGGGGACTCTGGCGAAGGGTGGCGAACGGTGGGGTAGGTGCGGCGAGTGGTTTGGTGGCTGAAAAAGGTGGAAAGCTAATGACTTAGGTGGTTGTGTGGTGGTGGTGGTGTGGTGGTGGGAATAGAGGGATTGTTTCCCTTTGTTTTAAAACAAACAACATGACAAATTTTAGATATTTTCATTCCATTCTCCTCCTTTTCCTTTGTTCATTCCATTCCGATTACCTCGTGCGAACTAAATGGCCCCTAATGGTTTTTTCCTGTATAATTAAGAATTGTAGCAGAGAAATTTAGTAGCTTTCAAGTCAAAGCTTCTCTCATAAGGATATCAACAGAAGCAACACTTTTGGTCTAAATCCAACATAAGGATTTTTTATTTTTTATTTTTAAATCACAAAGCCAATAGCAGTCTTTTCGTTGATTGTCCTGAGCTATAGAATTTCAGTTAGAGACAGTCTTTGGGTGCTGGTTAGCAAATGAACATAGTGGAGTTCACACATTTGGACTTGAGGTAAATTTGGCTAGAATAACTGGATTTAGGAAGTCAAATATGGTGCTATAAATGTTTGACCACTATAACAACAAAGCTAACTGTAAAGCTAAGGTCTGTTTTAAGAAGTAAAGAAGTAATCTACTTTATGAGAGGGATGTAATGACTTGGTTATTGTCTGCAGGTGAGGGTAGAATTCCTATCGGAAAATGGTAAAACCCTTGGCAGTTTCAGCCATCCATGCATGTTGGAATTTAAAAGCCAGCCGCTTCGCCTACTGTTGACATTTTTCAAGATTGTTCCTCTTGTTGCTGGTTATCTGTCCGAGACCCAAACTTTGAAGTTGAAGTTCAGTGGGTACAAAGAGGGGGTCATTCCTACTGCTTGTTTGAAGATAACAATGGAACAAAGAGCAGAATTTCGGCCGGCAGCTGGTATCCCTGAAGTATATGATGTGTTTGTACATCTGGAATCTAGACTTCCATTCTTTAAACGTATCCTATGGTATTGGAGAAGAACTTTATTTGTTTGGCTCAGTATGATAGTGTTTACAATGGAGTTGCTGTTTGCTCTTGTATGCTGCAGACCTGTAATATTCCCAGGAGCAAGAACAAGAAGTAATGTAAATAGAAGAAACGCTCCTTATACTCATTCAACTCAACGATAGCACTCTTACTTACACACGAATACACGATCAATTCATTTTTATTATCGGTTTGATGATATTGTTTGCTGATTGTATTATGTAAAAGCAGTTCATACGGAAACTTTGTCCATTCATTTGTAGACATCTTATTTCCTACTGTGTAAGGGTGGGTGCGTTAGGGATTTGTTTGTTGACACAGTAGTAGTCACTTGTCAGTTGTCACAGTATTCATTAGTAGATTACCATTGTAGAGAGTTCCATCTGGTAGAATAACGGCACAGGCTTTGGTTCACACTTCTGTTCCACTTCTTAGTATTGGATGTTTTAAATGGTGTAGTTTCAGATTTCACTTCATGGAAGTGCTGAAAGAATTGTGAATGAATTGGGAGTTTGGGCCAACTGATTGGAGCACTATGTTACCAATTGATACATTCACATCTACAAGCTAAGATTATAGTGAATGCTGTCATTGTTTTTGGTTATTAATAAATACAAAGTAATTTATTAACAAGCTGGCCCAGGTTGATCTCGGTGATAAACCCGGACCGTTTATCATGGGGCGTAATGGTCTATTCGCCTCTTTAGTCAGGGGTGCCAAGGTCATTTGCTTGTCACGTGGAGTTAACTCCTTTCAACCCAATTGCAAACGCCGTCAAGCTTTCTTATTCCTCCTCCTTCCTCCTACTTATCACCATATTGGAACAAACTATCATCTCTTGCTTCTTACTATAAACACCACTGGTAGTCTTGTTTCAACCACATCTCCTCCCCCTTCGATCCACAACTAAAATTGACCACCATCTTAATATTCTTCCCACAACCCACCCACCTTCATCTTTCTTCTTCCTCCGACCAACCTACCTTCATCTTTCTTCTTCTTACGCTGACACCAACACCGATATTCATGGCGGCTTCGCCACCAAATTAAACAAAACCCTACGAAAATAGAGAAAATCAAGGCATAGTTATCCCAAAGTGCAATTTATATTTCCCTCCATTGAAATTCCACCATTAAAGTCTTGAAGATGAGTACGTTTTCAAACTCCATTAATGGTCAAGAAGGTTACACTATTTGTGGTTGCTTTTTTGAGGTTATAGACATTTTTTATCTATGTCTTCTTACTTTTCCTTGCTAACTAGCAATATGTCAGAACTTTTATTCAAAAGCAATTTTTTATTGTCTGGGCATGCACATCAATGCAGTTTTATTACAATTTTGTCATAAGAAAAACAATGCAAGTTTATCACCGAGATCAAATTTTCTCTTTATTAACATGAAAAATGATGTGGACTACCATGGTAAACTTTTTTCAGCTCAACTTACATTTAAGGCAGTGTCGGATTCAGAAATTTTAAAATGGGTCCAAAATTTTTTAAACTTATATGACCCAAAAAATTGGAGACGTTGATATTATTAATGTTTCAATATTGCATAATATTTTTACTTTCTAATTCATCTTTAGCCTGTAAGTTTACATACATCTTTTGTTCCTTTAACATTGCAACATGGGTATAGTAATCACTCTTTTCATTTTTTCAATACACAATTTTAACCTTTTAAAAAAACTTTAATTATGAGTATAAAACAGTAACAATAACAATAACCCCAAGTGATTATTTTTCCTTATGTATAAATCATATAGAATTAGAATGGGAAAGCACACACGTTGCAATATTTTAAATCCGAAAATAATATATTATTTGCGATTTTATATGGAGAAATAATGTATGATTTATGTTATAGGAAATCAATTTTTTAGAATGGGAGAGCAAAATCTAAAATATGAAATAGATTTTTTTTAACACACCCTAAGTATCATAATTCTAATGCAAAAATAAAGGGGATGCAAGTGCTCCCCTTGGTGGCCACATAGATCCGCCAATTATTTAAGGCCTTGTTTAGTTTGATGTATAACATTTTCTATGAAACCATAATTGCAAATTAGTTTTCCTTGAATTGGTTCTTTACAAGAAAAGTCATAGAAAAATGAAAAATAGGAATGGAAATATGTAGTATAAGGACGGATAAGAGAAAAGTAAAAAAGAGGCATATATATATATATATATATATATATATATATATATATATATATATATATATATATATATATATATATATATATATAATTAGGGTAAAGAAAAGAATGGAAAACATAACTTCCCTTGTTTTGTGAAGGAAAATTGTAGCTTTTCTTGTTTTGTAAAGGAAAATGTTTTCCTCCTCTTCACAAACCAAACAAAAAAAATTGAGAATAATTGGAAAAAATAAGTATCCATGAAAATATTTTACATAAAACCAAACAAGGCCTAAGACTTACTACAAAGTATTACCATTTTAGCATTGGGTTTGGCAAAAAGATAAAAATCAGAATTCTCTTTTACGAAGTACAGTATTACATTTTAAAATTGGGCTTGGCAAAGTTCTTTTTTCATACTTTTTAACCTTGGAATTACAGAGCAGAGCCAACAGGGGAAAGCTTCTTGGGACAATCATATAATAATATACTCAAATTAGAGACAATTTTCGTTGAAACTTTAAAATCAATGAAGAAATAGATACGACGTGGGGGATAAATGTCTCTCTTCATTGCGCAGATTAACGATAACAGTATGCAAGCAAAGAGGGTGCTTAAGGCCTTAAGCTTATCCTTTCTTTGGCATGGCTGCCAGTCTTGTATACATCTTTGCCATGGACTGGAATCCTCTTAAGTCTCCAGATCGTAGAAGATTGCCTATCATAGTCAAATTGAGCTATTAGAAAGTATCAACAGAAAACTCATGAAAAATTTAAAAGTAGCATCTTTAGGTTTGGATAACCATAAACTTGGAAGATTTAAAAGGCGAAGGGTTGCTTCAGATATAGTTGGTTTTACTTTATAATATAGAAAGTAGTAAACACCAAGGAAAGCAAAACATCCTGACATGAGTGACATCCAACAAGAAAATATTATCCCTAGCTACAATGGCTGCATCATAGATAAAGGAGAACTAGAGAGCAAAAAAAAAAACAAAGCAGCATAACACGGAATAAAAGTATCAGGGTCTAATGGATCAACCTGAATCACAGTTTAAGGGGCTATCAGCTTCCGGATGAGCCATCAAAGCAATTATTGCTCTGCACACAGATTGCAATGTCCAAGCAGGGCTCCAAGCATTTTTTAAGATGTCCAAGCAAATCTCTCCAGTCTGCATGTTGGAAATAATCATTTCTGTCACACAATTACAAAACCACGTATACTAACTCTTGCTTGCTCCATCTTGATCTTATGTGTTTTGTGTGCTATGGTTGTGAGTTTACCACTAAATTACTAATCAATGGAACATTAAGTAGAGAGAAGCCTATGGTAGGGCCATATCACTGGCATAAGTTAAATATATAACAAAATCTGAAAAATTATGTTTCCTTTGTTGTCAATCCTCCCCACTTTACCAAACACCCTTACCTTGAAATGGACATTAGGATGAAAGATTTTTGTCAAAAATCGCACTTGAGGAGGTTGCAGAGGATACTGTTCAGGCACTGCAAATGCAAGCTGGAAAACACCACCCTCATAAGGAGTTTCTGATGGGCCCTGAACAAAAGCAATGGCTTAGTAACATCAAGAAAATAATAGAGCAGAGCTGACGGCATGTCATTTACCTTGATCAAAGCAGTCCATTTAAATATGTTGGTGTCATCACAAACAAGTGTAATATCGGGATCGGCAGTTTTTTCTCTCTGCACCTCTTTGTATTCCTTGAACAACCTGGCCCTGGATGCCTGCAGTAGAAACAAAGACCAAAATATAACTTTTATACATACAAGCTGAGAGAGCTACCACATGGTGGAACAACAGGAAACAAATATCGGTAGTCAACTAGTCACTAAAACAACCTTGACACACCTAACAAGCAAATCAACCTCCATGATTTGCACCCTAGGGCCTATTTATACATTAGGTTCAGTAATATACTTAGGAATGTGCATGTTGGAGGCACCAAACTGCAAAATATCCAAATATCAATCTCTCTCATAAGTCTTAACTACTACTTTTCTGCAACTTTGGGAATCAAGGGGATCTCTATTACTCCTTGAAAGCCTATGCTTGCCATAAAAACAGATATGCTAATTTATGTCAAGCCTCCTCAAACTAACCAATGTGAACACATCTACGAGAATGCCATAAGTCAAGCTGTTACAAAAAAATGTGAGTGAAAAATTATTGCAAGTATTAACAGGGGATTAAAGATATTAATGACCTTTATGAGCACTAATTGCTGGAAAAAGTCATTAATGACATTTACAAAAACAACCTCAACATATACAATCCCTAATACCTCTAGAGAGATTCCACCCATTTAAAGGCAAGGGAGAGTCATATGTACACAGCCTTACCCCAGCAATAAAATGAGATTTTTTTTTTCCTACTTTTCCTTTCATTTAAAAATAAAGCAAGAAATTTTTGCTTAAATTTCAGTACAAAGCAAATTAAACTAAGGCCCCGTTCACTTTATTTTATTTTTGCTAAACTTAAATTATTTTTGCTGAACTGAAATTATATTTACTGAACTGAAATTAATTTTATTGAACTTAAATTATTTTTACTGATTCCATGTTGTATTTCTTCTTTAAAGTTATTGATTTTTACTGAACTAAAATTATTTTTACTGAACTGAAATTATTTTTACTGAATTGAAATTAATTTTACTGAATATTTTTTTTTTAAGGTGAAGTAAACAAGGCCTAAAATCAGATAACAAAAAATTTACTCCGTAACATGTAGCTTAACACAGAGAAAAGAAACACAAAAAACGCGTAGACTTTATATTACTCCTTTGAGATACTTGGATCATCAAACTTGAAAAAACTTGTCAAAAATAATAAGAATACCCTCCTCGTAAATATACATTCTAAATCAAATTTCTTACAAATTCAAAAATAATTATCAATCATGTTGGCAAAGTCAATAGAGCTATACAAGAAACACTTGCTGTCATTTCAAAAAGTATCCTCACTGAAAACAAAACCCACCTAACAACATCACATTCCTCCAAAAAGTTTATTCTCAACCCTTCCAACCCCCCCCCCCCCTCCCAACACACACACACACACCGAATTTGTAGCCAATTATCAAGTAAAAAAGGGCAAACCCAAGTCTCCTTAATTACCACAAAGAGTCTTCTTTAAGCTAACTCACATTAAAGGGAAAATGCAAGCAAGTCTTATTGACAAAGCAAGCACATCAATCAAGATAACATAGTTCTGGTTTTGGAGAATTCTAATTATGTTGATCTTGACTAAAGAAAGTGTCCACACAAAAGCCATCGCCTTAAGGAGAGCCTTAGGTTCCAGATTCAACAACAATGTAAAAAGACCACATATCAAGGCTCTCCTGAAATGTAAGTCAAGGCAAATTACAATAATAAAACCACGATTAGAGAGAATTATCTTAGGCCCCCGTTCACTTCACCTTATTTTTGCTTTACCGAACTGAAATTATTTTTACTGATTCTATGTTATATTTCTTCTTTAGAATTACTGATTTTTACTGAACTGAAATTATTTTTACTGAACTGAACTTATTTTTACTGAATTGAAATTATTTTTGCCGAAATGAAATTATTTTTACTTAACTGAAATTATTTATACTGAATATTTTTTTTAAGGTGAATTGAACGGGGCCTTAGAGTAGATTAACAGGCGTGAGATGGTGACACTAATAGACTGGTCTTCTATTCAAAAACACCTTACCTAAAACGAATTTGATTGCCATCACCAATCTTAAACCCAACCTCCTTCTCCCTTTGGACAACACACTAAATTTAAACTTTCCATGCCTCCTCACCAAGACCAGGCATCTCCTCATCAACCTCTCAATCTTATGTGCAATAGAGACCGGAACATCAAATAAAGATAGAAAATAAAAGGGTATAGTTATAAGAGCAATCTTGCTGCCAAGTGAGAAGCGCACAGCCAGTTAAGCCTTCTAGAAATCATTAAAATTATAGGTTCCTAAAAACTTCCAAACACGAATTACTCCCTAGCAGCAAGCCTAGATTTCTCAAAGAACACCCTGACACCCAACCAAAGCTACATAGTACATACCTCTCCAGAATGATCCCTGTTAGTCTACAGTCAACACTTTGAGAGATAGTTTCATAAACCAAAGCCCACCTCAAAGTCATGAAGCACACTAGTGCCTTTACCAGCTTCCAGGAATAAGTTACTGTCATCAATATATTGCAATTAGAACACCTGAACTACCTTTCTATACACCTTAAAACCTTTAATAAATCCTCTTGACCAATGTTACATGGTGTGCAGTAAGATACAACTTGTAGTATGGGAACGGGTAGCGAATTGAGTAGGTCTGGGATGAATTGAATAGTAAATAATAAGACAGAAGATGTGAGATATAGGTTTGTTGAAATGGGTCAAACGGTTCAGCAAATTGGAAGCACTGTGGAAGTGTGGAACACACAAATCCGATTTGCAGAACAGGGGTCTAAACACCATTCTAGGATTTTCCTTTAGCAAACCACTAGAAGAAGAGAATCATTCCTTAGGAGCCCCATTAATCATGACAGAAATGACAGACGCCTCACACTGAATCCTTTCCTCTCAAGGCTTCAAACTCCTAATTCTATGTATCATGGCCTTTTATCAAAAATGAACAAAAAATCCTAACCCTCACAGGATTTAAAATGAGCCTCATCTACGGCTTCATTCTCCATGAGCGCCGCATCCAAAATTTATTTTCCCTTTACAACAACACATAGTAATGATCAAAAATTGCCTCCCTGGGCCTTTTTTTTTTTCTACCTCACAAATCCTTATTCCCTATGCTTTTGAGACAATTTTGCATGCACAAGTAAAGTAGATTGAGAGGTAGTCTCTAAACATGACAAACCTACCATTCATAGGTAATAGGAAATGAAAATTAGATACATGCTTTTTCCCAATATTCTACTATCATAATATCATATAACTGTCAAAAATACCCTAGCTTGATCAAATCTGGCTACTACTGGAAAAAGGCCATAGTTAAACCATTAGAGCCTTTAAATACTTAATAGAGAACACTGACTTCTTTTTTCTCACAACGATGAAAACTCTAACCATTCATCCAAATGAGTAAAACACCTTCTGCTACCATTCACCTCTTTATAAAACAATCTAGATCAAATTTATCCTTCTTTTGCACATTCCAATTTTAGCTTTTAATATTGTCTTAGCTTTCCCTCAAAAAATACCAATACACTCCATCTTTTCCATATAAGTATTGTTTACCTCTTAATGGTCATCAAAACCAACCATAACATTGGTAAGCAAATATGATTTTCATACTACTTATAAAATAACTTCCAAAATGCACCTAGAAAACATTATTTACATCTATGGTAAATAAAAAAAATTAAAAGGTCCCTAAGATCCTAAGTATTGGTTTGACATACAAACTATCCAATTCACTAGGAGAGCAATTCCCTCTCAAGAAGCATAACTTCCAATGGCTTTAGCAATATAGGTATAAGACTAGCCAATGCAATCCTCCCTTTGTCTTATTGAACTGAAAATCACACGTAACACATAATGATAAAACACTATATTCTGTTTGTTGTCTCCGACCATTCCATCTTCCTTGCTTATTTGAGCTAAAGCTAGCATGACTATTGGTAGATCAATATTTGCTAAGTTGAGTACAAACATTTTCTCAATATGCCTTGAATAATTTATCACTTCGACATCTATCTTAATAATATTTTAAGGATTCATCACAGTTTTATCTTATACATAACAAATGCCCAATATGGATCATTGATAAGGTTTCTAAGATGTCGATGTTAATTTATGCCAGATTGCTCAAAGGCCATTACTGTAGGGATTTTAAAGACTCGATACATGCAAAAAATCTTAAGAGTTCACTGACACATATTTTCAAGTGTTTCACATCTATTATAAATTCACAGAGTAGGCCTTTGGAGAGAAAATAAGTTAACCATATCTTTTCCGCCACTAAGGTACAGCTAAAAGCACCGTATAGAAACTAGAAAGTTCAGGATTATGTTTTCATATGAAGCATAATCACAATAAGATGAAACCTGATATAGAGTGCCAAACCATGCTACAAACATTTGCACTTTGAAGACCTTTGTACACTCAACAGCTAAACAGTATTTCTTAAGCTTTTGAATCTCTACTACATTTCCTTACATCCAACTAATGGTGCTCTGATTTCCACTTATCCAGTTCTACTCCATTTATGTCTGATCTAATGTTTCACACATATTGTTTAAATTGTTTGTCAACCATTCGCAATTTTTTGGCAAACTATTGTACAGGGTTCATAGGCCTTCAATGGAGAACTAAAATAGAATCAAATGGCACTACATATTCCGAATAGCTATTGACTCCTAGCTTGAGAGCTAAGATGAAATAAATTGAATAGCTTGCATTTCTAGGACAATTAACTGCATATTAAGATATGTTAACTACATAAAACCACCTTCCTATCTCCTGAGAGTTCTGACATGTTCGCACAAATAGAAAAGATGGGCATTTGTACACTTTGTGGTATGGTGTCGAGTTGGTATTAAGTATCAATCAGGATACAAATCATGACAAATTAACAACTTAATCATCTTAAACAGACATAAAGGATCAATCTAGGAGGAAGGCTAGAAATCGTACGAATAGAAAGATTATAGTTAAAGTTAGTTATAAGGAAAACAACCTGCATATTTCTAGGAATAGAATAGACAAGTCAGAAAATTCCAATGCTCGGCTAGCTTGAAGACTACGAAGTTATCTGCATATCAAATCAGAACGAAGGAAGGCGGTCAAGGGCAAGACTGAGATAACAAATTATACGCAAAAACTGAAAATTGTTAAAACATAATATTGGAAAACGAATCGAATGGGCTTGAATTCACATTACAAACAACTTTGAAACGATATTATTGAGAAAATTTCAATCGGGTTACAAAACCAAATTGCAAAGAACATCAAAATAAAAGACCTGAATATAATTGAAATGACAAAATGAGACAACAAATTACACACAATCCTACTTAATACAACAAGTAAAAAACTTAACAAATTATAAAAAAATAAATAAAATAAAAAAAATAAAAAAAATACCAAACATGAAATAATCACACGTTCAACTGTTAAACAAATAAATATTCCGGAATTTGCATTCAATCAATCGGTGAATTATAGCCAAAATCCCTAATTCCAAGGCCGAAAAGGCGAATTATAACATGAAATTTGTATACATTTCTTGGCTAAAAATTAAAAACTAGAACAAGAGATCAAATCAGGCAATAATATCATTGAGACATGTACCGTAATTGAAATTCTAGGTCTTGTTCTTGAGCAGTCAAACAAAAAATGGGCTATCAAGTAAATAATGGAAGAATGAATTAATACAAGAGCATAATTATGTACCTGGGGAGTGAATGAATTGAATTTCTGGGTTTCCTCTCAAATTTTCGGATGAAATGGGAAGGAGGAGAAGCTGGATGCCCTTTGCTTCGTTTCTTGACTAAAGGCTTTTTTTTTTTTTTTTTTTTTTTTTAACGAATCAAATTACAGATAGGAGTATGTTCTGATTTATTGAACTAAACCAAATTGAACCTGAATTAAACTAAACTTAACTGAACCTGAACTAAATAACCTTAAATGAAATTAAGCCCTATGCCTATTAGATATCACTATGATGTTTTTTTTTTGTTTTTTTTTTCAAAACTATATTAGATTTCATGTAGTGCACGGTTTATATAAATCTATTTATAATTCAATTATACATTAATATAAATAAGAATTACGTATAAAAAATATTTGTAATTTAAAAATTTTAGAATTTCATCAAAATTATGAATTTATGATATAGTATCGTACTCACAGTGCTCAGTGTCATCTAATACGTAGCTCAATATAGGAGGTCATTCATTAGTGTGCTATTTAAAATTGTTTCAATTTCCTACGACAAACTGATAGGTTTTAATAGTAATGTAGAAGTTTCATATATTTAAATTTAAAAAACATTATCTTTCAAAAAAAAAAAAAATTAAAAAACATTAAATATGATAGCTCCACCCAAAAAAAAAAAATTTAAAATAGTTTCAATATCCTACATCTTCTAACATTTAAAATTTCATTTCAAAATGTTACATATGATAGTTCCACCAAAAAAAAAAGACATCTTCATTACATTTAGGCAGGAAAAATTTATTAAAAAACTGACACGTGGGTAATAGAATATATTAGTATAAATGTACACCGTATATATTATAGGTGTCAATTTGGATAATTGGATGGAGTTTGGGTCGGGTCTATTTGGGTCGGATATGTTCGGGTCAAAATTATTTTTTTTAACTCGGATCGGGTCGGGTCGAGTCAAATTCGAGTCATGTCTATCGACTCCGGGTCGGATATGGGTCGGGTCAACTCTAGATCGGTATATTCAGTTCAGATAAATTCGAATTGGGTTTTAAACGGGTTTGATCGGGTTAATTTCAGGTCGAATGAATTTGGGTCGGGTTGATTTTGGTTCAGATGATTTCGGTTCGGTCAAGTTCGATTTGATTAAGATAAAGTTGATTTAGTATTTGGTCAATTCTGATTCAAAACCTTTTCGTGTTTGTCTAGATTTTGGTAAAGTTGACCAAGTTCAATATCCAAATAAGATCATTTTTTAACTTGAGTAATTATTGAATTTTTACCTTATTGTTGGGTCAATATCAACTCATTCATGTGTCATTTCTCATATTGCGTGGTTAATTATTATGAAATGCAAAGAATTAAGTTTTCATATTCAATCAATTCTTGTGTAATATTTATCTTGGAGTGAAGTTTAAATTGAATAATTACCAATGACTTATCATACAACGTACATAAGTGAGACGATTAGTAATGAACTTGTGATAGACTGATAGATTGATATATGATAGTCACATTTGGTGATATACAAAAAAATGTCCTCGTTTTAAGGTACTACTCTTTAGTTGTTTAATCTCATGAGGCTATTATAAGTAGTATTAGTTTGCTTTATTACTAATTCAATTTCTATAAGGATATTTGTTAGAGTTTTAAACTTTTGAACTTATTAATAATTATTAAATTTGTAAATGTATAGTAATATGAGAACTTGGAAAAAAAAAGGTCAATATGAAAGGAATGGTATCCTTCGAACAAGTGTATTATTCCGATAGAGTGTTCGGAATTATTAGAAAGCTAATAATTCAATAGGTCAAGTGATCAGAATGCCTAATAGGAGGCTGCTTCTAATCAGTAATGTTAATGCATAACTAATATTACAACTTAATCTTGACTAAACCCTTCGAGTCATACCCAATAGTGTAATCGAACCGAACGACGAATTAATCTGGTGGATTAAATGAGTCATTAGAGTGTTATGTGAAGGATTTATATCTTCACCAAGTGCAATTATTAAATATACCAATGGATCAAATTATGGATATAATTAAGTTCGTTCATTTGGGTGGTCGTTATATCATAGCTAAAGGTACCAACGGTCTTTGAGCTAGTTAAATAGGCCAAAGCCTAATTGGACGGATCCTATAAGATAATCACATAAAGGGCCTAAATTTAACATTAGAGGACAAGGTCCACGATGGGCCTCATCCCCTAGGTGGCCGACCATGTAGAGGATTTGAAGAGGTTTCGAGCTTCTTAACCTAGTCTAATTATAATATGATTATAAGTAGACTAGGTGCCTAGGATAGTATATAGAACAACTTTTCTGTTAAGTTGAAACCCTAATTAGCAAACACAAAACCAATCTCTCTCAAACTCCCCTCTTTCTTTCTCTCTCTATCTCTCTCTCTCTCTTTCCCTCTCTCCCTCGGCTCTCTCTCCTCTTCTGTGCCGATTATGGTGGTTTGTGGTGGTGGTGGTTTGTGCGGTGGTCGGTTGTCCATTAAAGTTAGTGATTGTGGTTTTCCCCTTCACTCGATCTATCTAGTATTGGTGGACAGCTCGTTCGAATCTCGTGTACTAAGTAGAGGAGCAATGCTTGGGGCTCTATTCTCTAACTGATTTGCTGATAGAATAGCTTCGTGGAATTCACACTTCAAAGGTATGATTATGCGTCTTGTGTGTTATGCATGCGATCTTGGTTTAAGTGCTTATGAATATGATTCATATTTTTTCGCATATAGTACCTGTAAAATCCTACAGTGGTATCAGTTAACCTCTTGCATGAACACGCTTAATTATAATAATACGATTATTTAAAGTCCATGTTGTTGATTAAATAGGTTTTGATATAATTGTAAACTAATGATGATTATCTAACTAACGCGTTTATTAAGTTGTGCATAGAAAGAACAAGTATGTTTAGAACAAGATACAAGGAACAAGAGTATTGACAAGCTTGTATAAGGAACTTGAGCAATATAGGATAAGCAATAGAGGAACAAGAACAATGATGAGTGTTATGGTTGATAAGCATGATGATGGGGAAGGAACCATGAAGGTAACTATATACGTAAATAGGTGTTTGCATATGTTAGCTTTATTAGGTAAGTACTCTATGCATACATTGAATGAGTTGTATATGTGTAAGAGTATTTATGTTCCTTTTAATTCTTTCACTTGAAGTTTGTTTATGGCAAACAGACTTCAATCTAATGTTCTCTTAAGTGTTTATGTGAAGACATGCACTGACTAAGGTTAAGTCAATGGGTTGGAACTTAGAAGACTTCAAGAGAAACATGAGAGAATGAATGAAACTAAAGCAGGTTCTCCCACGAGAACCAAACCACGAAGGAACCTGAAGATATTCTCCAACGAGATGCAGAAGGAACTTTCGACAGGCTTTCCTATGAGAGTCGAAGCATGTTCCCTAACAGGTACATGAAGTGTTCCCTAACAGGTACACAATGGACAACTCCCTAATAGGAGTGCAAGTGACAGCAAGTTCCAGAAAGGAACCTGGTCTGCGAGTTCCAATAAGGAATGAACAATAGTGACAACAAGTTCCAGCTAGGAACTTGGACTGCGGTTCCAAATGTGGAGTATTGCCCTGAGATTTGGAATACGTCAATACTACAAGATTCCAGAACAAGAGTTTCAAAGAAACAACATGAAGACGGAGAAGTCGAAGTATATCGCTCTAGGATTCATGTAAGTATGTTGGACATAAAAGCCAATCTGAAGCAAGACTATAAACCAAGGTTGAACTCCATACAGTCAATGAAACTAGAGTTTCCAACTTGTCAGGAACTCAGAGATTGTCAGAGTTCCAGAACCTAATAGGAACTTAAGTCTGCACGTCGTTAAAAGTCGATTTTAATGATATAAATATTTATCTAATACGTGCATATCTTTTAGGGATTTGATTTTACAAAATAAAGATATTTATTTTCTAATAAATCCCTTTTGGAAAAAGATAAGTTATTTTTGGAAAGTATTTTCAGCAAAAATAAGTTTAGAATAAAATCCGATTTTATGATAAGTATATCTTTGGAAAAAGATAAGTTAGTATATTTGGAAAATATAAGTTTAGAATAAAATCTGATTTTATGATAAGTATATCCTTTTGAAAAAGATAAGCTAGTATCTTTGGAAAGTATAAGTTTGAAATAAAAATGATTTTATAGCAAATATATCTTATTATTATTGACTGAATATATTCTTAGAAAAAAGATATATTTTTGGAAAACTTACTTTTGAAAAATATCTTATAAACATATCTTTTGATAACACTTATCTTTTATGAAAAGAATGATTTGGGTTTACTATAAATATGCTCATATGTATTCATTCAATGTCGAGGTTGACGAAGTGCAGTGGTCGTGCTTAATGGTTTAATCCTTCACCACGAAGTTAAGTCAAACCTTCGAGTCAAATTTCCAGTTAGGGTTTGGTTTCAGTTCGTCCAGTAAGTTCCAGACATATCTTGAGTGTCCAACATATAATTTTTATCTCTTTATTCATTGATATGTATTTAGAGTTACTCTTTGAGATCTTGTAATTGGGAAAAAGGGTTTTGAGTGTTTTATGTATTGGGGTGTGAGAGTTCGTGAGAAGTCTTGTTATTATAATTGTATGAGTGCAAAGTGTGAGCTTCTAGGGTGAAGCCAAGTGAGCTTCTAGTGAGAGGCCAAGTGTATAGTACTCTAGGAGTGCTGTGTGAATCTAAGTCCGAGACTTAGGTTGGGTAAGATAGGGTCTTACCGTGTAGCAAGTTCAGTCAAGAACTTGTGAGAAAGGTCTAATTGTAATAGGTTGTAACTAGGAGTGTTTGGCCTATTATAGTGGATTGGTTTGGTTTGAAATCCCTTGGAGGGTCAAGGTTTTACTTATAATTAGGCTCTGGATGGTTTCCTCATAAAATCCTCTTTGCAATGTCTTAGTTCCTAACAGCAATCAGGTTTATATTCCGCTAAAAGTAGGCACTAGGAACATACTACGATTCACCCCCCCCTCTTGTAGTATATCATCCAAATAACATATGTTCATAATTTTATAATCAATTAAGGGGGAAAAATTAATTTAATTATGGTTTAATTATTATATTAAATATGATTTAACAATTGTATTGATTAAATGTGATTTAATTATGCTCAAATAGCCA